CCCGCCCCCCCCCAACCTTGGGCAGGCAGGCTTCCTTCCATTCCACAGCTCAGACAGGTACCAGGCTCCCACCCCGCAACGTTCTCCAATTCGGGGCCCTACACTGGAGGGGTGGGGGTGAGTGGAAAAGGGGAGAAAAGTTAGCCCCTCCCCCACTCTGGGGTGGAAGAACCAGAGGGGCAGCATTCCAGAGAAACGGAGAGGCCGGCTGAGCAGAGGGGCCGCAGAGACTCCAGTCAGTGGGAGACAGAGACACCAAGAGACCAGCGAGAGACACGACATAGACCCAGGAAGGAAGACTCAGACACGGGGGAGGAAGCACGGAGAGACCCAGGGAAAGAACACGGAGCCCCAGGAGAAAGAACACAGAGACACGGGAAAGAGCACAGAGACCCGGGAGAAAGAACAGAGACCCCCAGGGAGGGAGGGAGCTGCATACATCTGAGACACCCGGGGATTCCGAGGCGGGGTGGGGGTGGGGGGGTGAGACAGGGAGGCAGTGACACTGGGAGACAGAGATACAGAGATGTTGAAGGGCACAGAGAGAGACCTAGACAGAGGGAAACGGAGAAAGCAGCTGAGACCGAAACGTGGGCACGGCGATGAGGGCCGGGGCACACCAGCACGGGACGGGACGCGGGGCGCAGACTGAGAGAACTTTCCGAAGCGGGTCCGAGTGGACACGTCCTCCCGGGACAGGTCGCCCCAGGGCCTTCGGGTCGTTGTACCCGGATAGGGGCGGGTATAGCCCAGCCCTCCCCACAGCCCGCGCCGGCGACCAAGAAGGGTGGGGGGTTTCAAACTCGCGCCCCGCGCACCCCGGGACTGCACGTGCGCCGGGGCCGCGAGCGAGATGGGGGCGCGGCGGCTGCGGATCCCCCGCCTGCTGGGAGGGGGCGCCTGTGCGGCGGGGGCGGGGGCGCGGCCTGGACCCGCCCGGCGCTGGGGTGGCGGTGGGAGGTGGAGGGCCGCCCCCGGAGCGCGTCCGCGCCGGCGGTGGGGGGAGACGAGGCGGGACCGAGGTGGGGGGAGCACGGATGCGAAAGGAAAACTTTGCGCTGGGGGGGCGCGGGCTGCGGCTCAGGTGCAGCGGGGAGAAGAGGGAGAGGGGGAGGAAGGGGAAAGCGGCGAGGGGCACCGGGGAGCTAGCCAGCCGGCGGCGGGTTGGGGGGAGCGTCTGCCGCGGGGTAACGCGGGGAGGAGCCGCCAGGCTTAGGGGGGGGCTTAGCCGAGGCGGCGGGCGCGGCAGGGGGGGGCGCGGCCCGGCCTAAGCGGCGCCCCCAGCCCCCCGGGACCGCCCCCAGCTCCGCTCGGCGGACGCGGGGAGAGGGCGGGGGGAGTGGGGAAGGGACGGATGCAGAGGGAACTGGAGGGGGGCCCGGGGGTCACTCACCGCCTATCCAGGGGCCGTCGGTCCGCATGTCCCCCCAAGCCGCCGGGGCCGCTGCTTTTGCTCCTCTTCTGCCGCCGCCGCCACCGCCACAGGATCCCACTCCCGCCACAGCCACCCGAGCTGGAGCCGGAGCCCGAGCCGGAGCCGGAGCCGCCGCCTCTGCCGCCGCCGCCGCCGCCGCTCCCGCGCCAGCTCCAGCCGCGCGCCCCCGCTCGCGCCCGCGCCCCTGCCCCTGCCGTGCGCGTCCCCGCCGCCGCCCCTCCCCTCGTGCACTCTCGCTCGTAGAGCGACAGAGCCGCGTAGGCCCAGCGAGGCCACAACCCAAGTCTGAGTCTAAATCCACCGGGACTCCAATGTTAAACCGGAACCCTAATAATGAGCTTGGACAGACCCTAACTCCCATACGAAGTCCATATCCTGTTAGTGGCTCCCAGTCCAAAGATGAACCTGATACAGGACCCCGTTTCCTCGCCATACAGATCTGAACCTGATATTGAGCCCAGACCCAGCTCCAAACTGAATAGTAAGTCCAAACACCCAAATCTACCCGGATATTGGCTCAAGTAGTAATTTTAATCTGAACCCCTAATTGACCTCAAATACCAATTCTGACTAGAGTCACCCCTAGCACCAACCCTGGTCCTTAAATGGATTCCAGTACCAATACTGAGTCCCGATCCCTATATGAACTCTAAAGACAGCTCCCTTGCTATGGATCCCAGCACTCTTCTGAATCCCAAGCCTTACATAAAACTCTAATATCGCACTCCCAATCTCAGGTCAACACCAACACATTTTCCAAACTGGGGCTAGGTCATCAGAAAAGGACCTTAATACAAATACTGAACTCAAATCTCATCCATTTGGGGGGCCATGTAAGACGCTTACTTGACCCATCTCTAATGATAATCTTGGCACCCAAGATTAATGAGACTCCACACGAATCCACTTCATCCCCATACTCACTCCTGACTTTTCTGACCTTATGTCAACCCCAACCCAAGGCTGGAACACTCCAATATTTATACCAATTCTAACTGTGAACTTGAATCATGTCCTGAATTGGCCCTTGAGTTCAAAACTTGATAATGTCCCCCAAACCTGATATCAACCTTGGTATTGAGTTTCTGACTCCTCATATCAAACTCAAATGCTGACCCTATAAATTTCGGGCTAAACCAGTAAATTACCTGAAGATTTATTCCAAGTCCTAACTCATAGGAACTTGGTGAGCTCCAAATCTTAGGACCAAAGCCTCTGGGCCCAGGCCTACCCTTCTGGTCCATGCCACACTAGCCCTCCCCTGCCTGCCCCCGTCATGAAAGATGGGGAGGCTACCTATTCTGCCCTAGGTCAGGTGAGGACCCCTATGGGGTCTCTGATCTTCTGGGGTCTCTGTGATACCTCTGTGAGTCTGGGGGTTAAGTGAGAAATAAAGCAAGTTTGGGGATTGTTGGGGCACCTGGATTCAGGGATCATAGTGTAATAAACAGGGCAGGGGTAGAGGTAGGGTCTAGGGATCTGGGCTGAGGGATCGAGTTCTGGTTCTCATCTAATTCACTGCCTGCTTTTGCCCTGGACTTGGATTTAGAAACGGTGCGTGTGCGCCCCCTGGTGTGTGAGAAGGGTATGGGACTGGTTCCGGTGATTCTGGGCAAACAATTAGATCCGGATTCCATACGACAAACAGATCAAGAATGAATATTCCCAGTTAGTGGCTTTTTACCTATTGGTGATTTTGGTGTATTGTGGAAGAGGTATTGCAAGTTTTATGCATTTTTAGACATTTTGGCATGTTTTTGAAGAATTTGGGGCGGGTTTAGGTTTTGGGGGGGTTTCTTCTAAATATAAAAAAAAGTATATTTTTTGGCCAACGATGCCTGCTCATTGCTGACCTGTGAAAACATTTCTTCCCCTTGGCTTCAACGGCCTACACTCTCCTCGCTGGCTACCCTTTCTCTTCTTTATCTTCTTCTCTTTATCTTCTCTTCCTCCTCTAGGGGTCTATCCAAGGTCATTCCTTCTCCTGCTGTACCTCTTGTCCCTGGACCATCTCCACCAGCACCAACCAAATGCTGATAACTTCCAAATCTCTATGTCTGGTCTGAGCCTCTCTTCTGAGCTTAGGACCCATATATCCAGGAGCCTTCTCTGGACCACTCCCTGGATGTCCCTCAGGTACACTGAATTCAGTCTCTCCTATCCCAGATCTGCTGGCCTCCAGCAGTCCCCATCTCAGATAGTGCCACCTCATTCACTCAGTCACTGAGCCAGAAACAGGCACCTTCTCTCCTGCACCCTCATCCAACGCAACCACAAAAACTTGAAAAATAGAAAGAGACTGGAGATCACCCCAGAGGGAGGTGGGCAGAAGTAGGGGAGGGAGAGAGAAGGAACAGGGGAGGGGCAAGATGAGAAAGAGACAGAGACAGAGAGCTTCTGACTTTTGGGTTCACACAAAACTAAGTTGGGCATAAAATCTCTCGCACATAGTCATAAAAATCACCCCTTAAAACTTGCTCTATCCTGAATGCGTTTGGTACTCTGGAACCAAGGGTACCTGTTTAGAACCATCACTTCCTGCAGGGAGCCATCCCTAACCCTTGGCCGGGTTAGGGACTTGCCTGCCAAAGCTCTAAGCACTGGGTGTCACCACCATTAGTATCTGTGTTTGCCCTCCCACCCTACAGACTGTGGCTTCCTTGAGGGCAGAGCAGGAGGGATGGACCTGCCTTGTCTATTGTCATGTCGCAGTGGCCAGCATAGGGGCCTGACACAGAAAAAGTGCTCAATACCTCTTTGTTAAAGGAATAAAAAGGTAGATTTTCCCCGTCTGTGCTCAGGGATCATTAGGCATAAGTAATTGGGGAGAAGCTCCCAGACCAAGTATCAGAGCTCGTCCACACCTGGGGCTTCTGTCGCCCTGGCGTGCCCTGAAGAAAGGCTTGTGGTGTTTGCTGGCCTGTGTGCCTGCAGCCTGGGCCTCAGTGGGTCTGACGCTCTGGCAGCCCAGTTCTCTCTGCCCAGCGCTGCCTGGTCTATGAACCTAATCCTTGGAAGACCTGTGGGCCAGAGGTCTGGCATTTGTGTCATTAAAGCCAGCAGACCCACTCAAGGCTGTGCCAACCCCCAATGGGGACACAGGGTTCTCAGAACCTCAACCCATTGGTCTCTAGCCCCTTGCTCATTCATCTTTCCATACCACGTGTGGTCAAGCATTTGCCAAGGTGGGGAATGAGGATGGCTGAGAGCAGCCTGCCCAGATCTCAGTAAGCCCAGCACCTGGGGCTGGACAAAAGGCCGAGGTAAAGGGACCAGAGGCCCAGGCCCTGGGGCCACACAGACAAGAGCCTCAGGTGGCTGGGCCCGTGAATGCATGAGAGCCGTGGGAGGAGAGGAGTGAAGGCTGTGTCCAGACTGCCAAACTCGGAACACAGGGTCCATGTGGAGTTGACCCTCTGCCCTGCTTCAGGGCCTGGCAGGGAGGGACGTCCTTGTGCTCATCTGTGAAGGCCGAGTGCGACCACGTGGTTGAGCTGTGTCTGCCGTGCTCCAGCCCTAGGGGGCAGGGCGAGGGGAGCCAGATGTCAGCTCCTACTCACTGCTCACCCTTTGTCCAGGTCCTGGGCCCACTGGACACTCTGCTCAAACTCATGACGTAAATCCGTCTCTTAGTCATCCCTTAGTTGGCCTAAATCAAATTAAATTCAGCTTGAGTCGCTACCCACCAGATCAGTGAGAATTCTGCATCACTCATAGCTCCCCTTCAGCTCCCTCCAACGGTCCAAGAATGCCAGGGGCTTGCACAGCCCAGAGATGCTCAGTCTGTGCTCCCCTATGCAGGGAAAGGCCAGCGCTGCTGTAGCAGACATGAGCCGCCCCTGCCATGGGGCTTCTGCTCTTTGTCCCCCATCTGCAGGCCACTCCCCCCAGCCTGGCTCTTTAAGGGGGCCTCTCCCGTAGACCCTCAAAGTGGCAGCCCTTTGTTCTTGGTGTTTTCACTCTCACATGATGTCAGGGTGAGATGGGGCATGCCCGGCCTCCTGCCCCTCTCTTCCACGCTGGAGAATCAACTCTCTGAGACACAGTCATGTTCTCCCTCTTAGCCTGTCAGAAGGAACTCAGACACCAGCACCACAAAACAATGTTTACCTTCTCAGGTGTGGGGTGGGAGGAAAAAGGCCCAGGCCTTAGAACACAAAAGCCTGGCTAATGCCTTTCACTCCTTCCTGATGAGTCACTTTGCAGGGGGGCGGAGGGGGGGAGTGAATGAGACAGGAGTTAATTTCTCAATAGAACACTCTGCTGCTGACGTCCCCTCAAGCTTCTCTGAGAAAACAGAAGCCACCAGAGGAGGACTCCATCATCCACTTACGACTAAACCCACCCACGTCCACTCCTTCCTCTCTGTCTCCCTCCTGGTTCCAAGGAGGATGTGCCTCGCCAGCGCAGGGGCTGACCCCACCTGCGTCCTCTTTCTTATATCATTCGTATGGACTTGTAGTTATGCTCATCCTAAAAAGTCCCCTCCCTTGACCCTACAGGCCCCTCCAAAGTGGAAGAAACGACGCATTTCCTTGTTCTTCACAGCAAACCCAAGAGCTATTTATATATGAAGCGTCTGCTCCCTGGTCTCCTGGGCCCGCTCAGCCCACTACAATGCAGCTTTCAGGATCAACGCTCCACTGAAATCACTCTTGACAGAATGACTGTTCACCTCCCTTCTGCCCAATCCAGCGGCTGTTCTTGTTCTCAGTGGCCCTTGTGACTTCCTGTCCTTCGGGGCCCGTGCACACAGGCAGACCAGCTCCTGACCTCGTCACATCCCCATCCACAGGCCACGGGGCCACCCACTCTTACAGTCCCACGCTGGGCCTTGTCCTTCTGCCCCCACCTTACTTGGGTGACCTCGAGGTAACTGTGCCGGCTCCTCAGACCTCTCTGCCGTGGACCTTTCATGCTCTCCTAATGCATCCGCTCTCTCCTTCCTTCGCTTTTCTTCTTGTCCGACTTCAATGCGAAGGCCTAACATTTTAATAACACTCTTGTCAATACCCCAGGCCCCTCTGCCTCTCTCTGCCTTTTGATCATATCTGTCTGGCAGATCCCCAGCTCCGGATGAGCCCTCCTATCTGCCTTCCTGAGCTGCGCTCAAGCAGCCAAGTGACTCCATGGGTCAG